TGATATAATTCTTTATATCTATATAATTCTTTAATTCTAACAAACATCACTCACACAACTATGGAAATTCTTGTCTTCACCATAAGCAGCCCAAAAATCTCACAAACTTGTGCAAACCCCAGGACAGGTAATTGGTGAATTAAAACTGAGTGTTTCCCAGTGGCTGGCAGGATGGTGGGACAGGAAACAAGAGCTGAAGAGGGAGCAATCCATAAGCTGTGCCTGGCAGAGCAGGCACACCCTGTTTCCCAGCAGGATCCGTGTGGGATGGAGGCCAGCAGGGTGATGGAGAGCTCCACTCACACACAGTGGCAGTGCCACGGCCCCCAAACCACGCTCACATCCCTGGAATTGCTCTGGATCAGCGGGAACAGGAGCCTCCCCTCAGGAAATAATGAGCTCTGTAGCTGACCTGGAGAGATGGGGATGGATTTGGGAGTGATTGGACTCTTAATCAGCCCACTGTATTTCTTTCTTGCTCCTCAATTAAAGAAGGAAGTGGCTACAAGATGAAGACGCTTTAACAATAAAGGCAGATTCATGGTATCCCATACAGATCACAGTGATCCATAAAAATGGGAGACTTCCTGAGGTTCACAGAGAGCAGGCCCAGACAATTCCTGCTCCCAGAGGGATGATAAGGAGGGAACCCTTCAGCAGCACTGGCCGAGTGTGGACAAGTACAGAAACAGGGAGGGAACTGGGAACAATTCCTTCCTGGAAGGGGCTGTCCAGCCCTGGCACAGCTGCCCAGGGCAGGGGTGATTCCCATCCCTGGAGGGATTTAAAAGCCCTGTGGATGTTGCACTTGGGGACAGGGGTGGCCTTGGCAGTGCTGGGGATGATTGGACTGGATGGTCTCAGAGGGCTTTTCCAGCCTGAGTGATTCCATGATCAGACTCATCCCTTTGTACAGGGTGAGCAGGGAAGCCTTGCAGAACAGAAGGGTTTGTCTTCCTGATAAGAAAAACCCAAACTCCTTGTGCCTTCCCTGAGCCCACCCTGAGCCCTCAGAGCTCACTGTGCCCCTCCCAGCCCGAGCCATGGGGGAGCTGCTCTGAGCCCACCTCCCAAAGGGAGCTGGAGATCCTGGTCCACCCCCCCCTCTGCCTGTCCCCCTCCAACAGGAGCAGTTCCAGCTGGTTCCCAAATCCTTTCACGCTTCCTACATCACAGACACAACCTCAGTTGCCCAGAGGAGCTATGGCTGCCCCTGGATCCTTGGAAGTGTCCAAGGCCAGGTTGGATGGGGCTTGGAGCAACCTGGGAGAGTGGAAGGCAGTGACCAAAGGACATGGGGGGAAGTTCCAGCTGCCTCTTCCTTGGAACAGGGAATTCCAGAAGCAGGATATTCCATTTCCTTCAGGTGTGTGAGTCTGGATGGGAAAGGGCAGGTGGAGGCTGTGCTGGTGAGGGAGCACCTCGGTGGCAGGGAAGGCCATGGGCTCTAGTTCTGGATGGAAGAGCATTTCTGTCCTTTCTTTCCTGGTGCAAGTGCTCATGCTCTGAAAGCCCAGACACTTGCAACACCATCTATCAGATGTGAGATTTGCTGCTTTGGTTATTCCATAGGATCCCAGAATGGGCTGGGTTGGAAGGGACCTTAAAGCCCTGCTCTGGGCAGGGACACCTTCCACCAGCCCAGGTTGCTCCAAGCCCCAGCCAACCTGGCCTTGGACTCTTCAATGTTTAACTTTGGGAACAGAGAGCCCATGGATTTGCCCAACAGACCTGGATGACGTCCCCCAGCAGACCCACAGGGCAGCCCAGGAAGGAATCCAGGGAGCCACTGCCACGGTGCCTGGGAAGCAGCACTTGCTGGTGCTCCGGGATCAGGCACAGGTCCTACAAGGCTGCCAGAAGTGATAAATCTGCACCTTCCAGTGGGAAGGATTGGCAACCTTTAGGAACCCTTGGATTGGCAACCCTTAGGAATCTAAACATCCTCCCAGGAGCCAGGGCTGTGCATTATTCCCAGGAATAACCCCAGCAGCACCAAGGTTTGTGGAGCGTTTCAATGGCCCGGAGATAATGAAGGATTTGTTCAGGGAACAAAACTGGAAACCTAAAAATCACAGCAGCTGAACCAATTATTCCAAAACCTGCCTCATTTATTTCATGGTGGTGGAGGTTTGCAGAAAATTATCATAAGATGCAACTCCAGTAGCTTATGTTGAGCTGGGGAACACAAGGAAAAGCCTGGCTGTGGGTCTGGTGGAGTTGCTGTGGACAGGAGCCCTTGGCACTTCCACTCCTGACTCCTGGGTGAGACAACTCTGGATGATGCTTTGCCCACGTTTTGGCCCTGAAAAACCACCTTAGCTGGACTGCCAGCAGGAATTGTGCCCAGTGTATACCCAGTCTGCAGGTTTCCTTTCCCATCTCTCTGGGCTGGGCTGCTCCTCTGGCACCAAACTCCTCCTGGTTAGAGCCTTGGATAGTAACTCACTCCCTTTTGAGGCAGATCCAACCCAAGGAATCCTTTGCCAGAGGGTATTTTATCCCTCTGTCACATTTCTAGGTGGGTAACACAGGACTACAGACAGACCTAGCACTGAATTCCCAAAATCTAATCCCAGGAGCTATTCAGTGACACAGCCGGTGCCCTCGGATTTCACAACAGCCCCTCTTTTAACCATGACAGGAACAACACCTGGATTTTAACTGCCAGGGATCCCAAAGATTCCTGTTTCTGTGTATTTTCTGAGGAGCAGAGTGTGCACAGTTCTGCTGGAGGTGGCTGTTCTCTTCAAAAAGGGAACCTGCTGCTCCAGCTCCGTGGAACTCAGCCCTGCCCTCCTGCACCTGCCACAGTCCATGGATCAAACACAGCCCCACCTCCAGCCCGGAGAGAGGCAACAAAGATGTGGGAATGAAATCCAGAGGTGACAAAGATGTGGGAATGAAATCCAGAGGTGACAAAGATGTGGGAATGAAATCCAGACTCAAAATACAAACGAGTCTAACACAGGGCTCTCCCCCCACCAGTGTCTGCCATCCACATGTGCCAGACTTTTCCCTTGTTTTTTTCAAAATACCATTTTCAAATACTCTGTGAAGGAGGACAGACCCTCAAACTGCTGCTTTGGCCTGAAATCCCAGAATGCCTGAGGCTGGAAAAGCCCTCCCAACCCATGGAGTCCTGGGGAGGGCAGAGAACCCAGCCCACAGAGCTCACCCAGCACATCCCAGCAGTGCTCCCGGTGCCTCTGGGGAGGGGCAGTTATTCCCAGGCACTTCCTGGGATTCTCTGCTCCCTCCACCCCCACGGCAGAGTAGGAACCCACAAATGCTGAAGAATGTGGGCAAAGTTCTCTGGGGTTCTGCTTTGATGCCAAAGCACCGAATCCGAGGACTGAGCCGATGTGGCTGCGGCTCCCGAAAGGGCAGGATGGAAGGGAATGAATAATTCCTCCTGCTGTTCCCAGCACTTCAGGAGGTTATTCCCAGCAAGACAGCACAAGGGTTTGAATTTGCTTCCAAAAAATCTTCAGCTGTCAAATTCCCCAGAAAGTCATGTTAAGAAGAAAAACTTCTCAGGAAAGCAAGTGAAACCTTTTTAGTGCTGAGACAGAATATATGTATTTTTCAATCAAAAAGCCCTAAAGCAGTGACAGAGCCACCAGGGTCAGAATAAAGCTGGTGTTTCTCCACTAAAGTGAGCAATGTTTCCTCTTTGATGTCTCTAAAGACACATGGTTAGTCAGGATTGGATCTTCCCCGAGAATCCTTTGCCATGAATGTTTTAAACCAGTCACTGAAACCACAGGCAGAAGCCACAACTAAACCTCTGGATGTGGGGACTGGAGGTGCAAAATGCCAAGGCCACATGTCTTAGGATTAATTCATGTCACAGACCACGAAAAGAGCACCAGCTGCAGAGCTGTTTTTGTGGGAACTCACGGGAGAACAAGAGAGAGGCATTTTCAGGACAAGGGGACATTGATTTCCCCAGGACAGATTCTTTCCCTTCCTTTGAAGGATCTCCTACCAGCAGCAGATTCATGGGGTAACTCTTTGCTGTCTTCACCCCATCAGCCAAAGGAACCTGCTGGCCAGACATCCCTAAAAACCTGTTAAAGCTGTATCCACAGATCATGGAATCCTGGGATGGTTTGGGCTGGGAGGGACCTTAAAGCCCAGTTCCACTCACAGAGGACAAAGCAAACATTGAGGTGTGAGGTACTTGAAGCCTCTGCCCAGTGCCCTCCAGGCTCAGCACCAGCCCTGGAGGTTGTTTTGGCCTCCAGTGGGATTTCATGAGCATTCCCAGAGTGCCAGGAGCGTGAACCAGCCAGTGCTGGTGGAAAATCCCAGTCCCTGACAGCAGATCTGCTGCCTGCACGAGTCAGGTAGAGCCAGAATCCCAGGAGGAAGCAGCACAGCTGAGGTGCACAGGAATGGGAAGGAAAGGAGCTTCCTGGCACCATGGAAACCCTCCAATAAAATGAACTCCAGGGTGGTGAAGGGACACTTCACTGTGCCATTGAGCTTGTGGAAATAACTCTTGTGGCTGTGCTTGTGTCTGGAATGGTGTGAACACCAGGAACACTCGAATCCCACACAATTCCTCACTGTAACTCATCAGCATCTCCAGCCCGGGCTATCAAAGGCTTTTGGAGGGTTGACTTCAATGGTTTGAGACTGTTACAGAGCACCTGAAAAGCCTCTCAAGCAACACTGGCTTTGGAAACACAGAACTAAATAAAACAAGATCTCAGGCCCAACAGCTGAACTCCTGTGTCCCACACAGCGAGTCGTCGAAAAAGGAGGAGCCACCAGAGGAAGGAGGACCTTGTAGGGGAGGTTTTAGGATATTCCACAACCTCTCTGAGGGTCCTGCACCCCCAGCAAAGCAGGGCAAGGCAGCTGCTGGGTGCCGGAGGGGACTCACAGTTCCAAGGATGTCAGATGAGGACTCTTGGTACCTCCAGCCCTTCCATATTTGAATTTAGTTAAAGAAGAAGGATTTCAGTTCTGGTTAGAGAAACACCCCTTACCTGCTCAGGTGTGAAAAATCAGGAAGCTGACTCCATGGCATTCCTCTGCAGAGCAAGGCCAAGCCATCCACAGCAGAGGAACTTTTCTGTTGGGCTGTGACCACTGGAGCAGCACCTGGGAAGGATCAACAGATTCCCAGGTCAGTTTGCACTGAATAAACTCCACATACAATAACATTCAGTAGTAACACTCAATCATATCATAATATTATAATATAAAATACAATGATATAACAATAACAACAATCAATGAACTCCACATTTCACATCTGAGAACAGTTTTATTGTTCTCTTTTTCCATTCTCTTTCCTGCTCAGAGGCCACAATGGAAATGTTTAAGGAGAGTAATAACTTCCCTACACATCTCTTGTCATACAAGAAGCTTATTTGAAACAGAAATTCTTAAATTACATTCTAAAGGCAAATATGAACCAAACAATAATTACTTGATGCTGCTGATGCCATCTCCTATAATCTTCTCTCCTGACTCTACAAGAGGCATTTTCTCTGCCTGACAATGGCATTCCCAGTGCTCCAGGTCAGCACAGACTCTCTCCTAGTGCAGGTGCCTTCACCAGCCAGACCCAGTGCTGACCAGTGTTACATCACCCTCCAGACACACCAAACCCAACCTTCCCCAGCCAGACCCAGTGCTGACCAGTGTTACATCACCCTCCAGACACACCAAACCCAACCTTGACCAGCAGGTGCCCAGCAAACAACCCCAGGGGTCACAAGTTCAGGATCCTGCAGAGGGCTCAGGGCTCTCCTGGCACACACAGCTCCAACTGGAGCTGGCTGTCAACCCCAGTCTCAGTTCCCAGCCTCTCCCCAGGACCTCTGCTGTGTTACCCTCCACTGTCATTGCCAGATACATCAGCCATGAATAAAAGATGCTGCAGCCAAGGTCAGGGGTGGGGTCAGGTTGGAGCTGGAGCAGTCCCACATCACTTGGCAGCACTCGACCTCCAAATCCCAGATCCCACCACAGATCATCCATTCCACCCACGGGCTGAGCTCTGCAGGAAGGAAGCTCTGTTTGCACCTCTGGGAGCACGAGGTAACTCTGAAAGCTGCCCTGCTTACCCAGGAAAGCCCAGTGGTTCATTAATCCTCCCTGAGGGCAGGGCAGTGTGTGGGGCAGGACCCGCAGTGGGCTCTGCAGCAACCCCGAGGTGGGAAATGCAGCACTTGGGGGACACTCTCATGGGGCTGGGGGGGATTTTCTTCTTTAAGATGTCCAAGCTGTGCTCAGGGCTGTAAAACTGCACCTCAGTTTGGGGAAATTATTCAGAAATGAATAGATTGCCCAGAGAAGCTGTGGCTGCCCCTGGATCCCTGCAAGTGTCCAAGGCCAGGTTGGAGCAACCTGGGCTGGTGGAAGGTGTCCCTGCCCATGGCAGGGGTGGCACTGGGTGGGCTTTAAGGTCCCTCCCAACCCAAACCCTTCTAGAAACCACTGAAACAAGAGGTGTGCAAGTGACCTGGGGGTCATTCCTTGGGATCTGTGCCTCTCTGATGCACTGACTGGGCTGTCAGGACAACTGCACCAAAGAAAAGAAAAAAGGAGCTGCTGAAGCTTTAGCTGTAACTCTGCACCCAACAACGAGCCACCTTTGCCTGGGACCTGCTGCAGGACTCCCTTTTCCTCTCCATGTATTTCCCTGGCAGAGGAATTCCAAGAGAGAGAAGGCAGGAGAGTTTCCCAAGCGTGATCCTCCACTGATGATTTTGGATCCTGTTTAAGTAAAGCCCCCCCAGGCAGCACCAGGAAGTACCTCCTCCAGCAGAGCAGTCAGTTTTCTTAGGAAGCTCCTGATAGCCAAGGCAAAAGTATAAATTCTACCCTGTTTTCATAGAGTCACAGAATCCCACAATGGTTTGGGGTGGAAGGGACCTTAAGGATTATCTCATTCCAACCCCCTGCCCCTGAGGGTGATTTGTTGAAGCTCAAGAAAGATCTTCAGGGTTTTCTCTCATCCAGCTGTAATTATAACAGGAGTTTTAACTCCATCCAATGAAATGATTGAAACGTGCAGAGAGGGGTTATGAAATGGAGCTTCTCCTGTTTCCCTTCCAAACCCTCAATAATTTATGGATATTCGGAAGTTTAGGATGTCACAGGAAGGTGTTTGTCAGGGATTGCCTTTAAGAGTGGGATCAAAACAAACCAATAAAATCTCTGAGTCACAAAAGCTGTGCAGGACAGAGGGATTCCAGGAGAGCCCAGCACCTCTGCCCAGCCTCAGATCAGAAGGAGCAATGAGTGACTGACAGTCAAGAGGGGGAAAAGTCTCCCTGCATCCCAATTCCGTGTCTCCTTTGCTGACTCCGGGGCTGTCAGTCCCTCCCAGCCCTGTTCAGCAGGAAGGAGGTTCTGTCTCCATTTGCTGCTCCTTCCACACGAGGTATTTAAATGTTCTCATCTTGTACTCAACAGAAATGTATCATAAACCTCCCAATTACCTCCCACCCCGTGAAATGTCAAACCAATCAAAGGGCTGAAGGGGGAAATTAAAGCCTATTTTCAGAAGAGCAACTCACTGATGTGTCACTGACCTTCAAGAGAAGAGCGGGGGAGCACAACTTCTGCAGTCCTGGGTTCCAGCCCTCAAGAGGAATTCAGGAATGTGGGATCTCTGAGATAATGTGATCAGATTTAATCGAGGTATTACCTAAAACTGGTGGGTTCTGGGTTCAGTATCAGCTCAGAGACCTTGATGAGCTGCAAGATCATTTTGTGTGGGAGGAGCAGAGACCAGACTGGGTCCAGACTGGAAATCCATCTGCTTCCTCATCTCCTGACAAAGAGAGGCCATGTGAGGCTTGAGAGATTACCTGGGAAGGACCTGAAAGCTCATCCCATCCCACCCCCTGCCATGGGCAGGGACACTTTCCACCAGCCCAGGTTGCTCCAACCTGGCCTTGGACACTTGCAGGGATCCAGGGGCAGCCACAGCTTCTCTGGGCAACCTGGGCCAGGGCCTCCCCACCCTCCCAGGGAGGAATAAACTCCACAGCAGCAGAACAAGGAGCCCTTTAGAGCTAATTTAGCCACTGGTATCACCCCAGGAATGGGGCTCTGAGGAACATCCCAGTGTGATGGAGCCCTGGAGAGCTTGGATTGTACCTGTCACAGCCATCCCTCCTGCCCAAGCCAGGCAGGAAGTTTGACACAGTGACAGGGGTTTTAATCCCCAGGGATTTGCTGGGACACCGGAAGCACTGGAATAGCTCCTGGGGAGAAGGGGATTATTTCCCAAATCTCTCCTGCCCTTTGGTTCAATCTTTTTCTTGAGAGAAAAAAAAAAAAAAGCCCAACAAAATCATTGAGCCTTTTTCCTTAAAGAAACCCTTCAGTTTTGGAAGTTTCTGATCCCTCTCTAAGGTGACACAGTTGGCTCCCCCCTCACTGCCTGCCTGGGCAGGATTTATCTAATTGGGAGAATACTGGTAATGATTATGGTACCAAAATCCATCTGTGATAATTACTGACCTTCTACCACTCTTGGAATTAAAGCTTTATGCTTTATTTTCTTCTAAATCA